TACNCATAACTGAGAAAATGTTGCTCAATGGGTTAGTCCAGTCGTAAATGAGACTTTCGTTATTCCCTTCCTACCCCCCCCCGCTGAGCCGGACCGGTCAATGCTCTTGCAAACGCACAAGTACTCACAATAATTCCCTGCCACCATGCATAAGGAATTGATTTAAATCTTGGGTAAATGAGGAAATTAAAAATGAACTGATTCTAAAAAAGCTGTGGTTTGCCACTATGTGTGTCAGAATATATCGCGTTTATCCTACCACGTTTACCCTATAATTGTGTAAAAACATTTGTTTTTTTCAATGCAATTTTTAATAATCTAAGGCAAAAATATGCAATTTTTCTTCTTTTTACTGAAATTGAAAGGCTTAGGTATCTATTATTTTTCTTGTACCTAGGCACTACTACTAGTACTAGGCAGTAGGCACTGCATAGTGGCAAAGCAGAGAGTTATTAAGACTCTCCTTCAAGTTCAATTTCAAGTCCTATATGGCTATAAGTAGACCAAAAAAGTATCATGGATACCAGCATCATCATACATAAGATATTGCCTTTAATGGCTTAAATATTGGGTAAATGAGAAAATTAAAAATGAACTGATTCTAAAAAATCACTGGTTTGCCACTATGAGGCACTGGCCCCTGAAACTCAGTTTCACTGAAAGTGTTCACAATGACTGAGTCAAGTAAGTAAGGTCAGTTAGCTAATTGATCATGAACTGCAGTCTGCAATCTCTGACTCTGCATATACAATACTATGGTATTCTATACTTATTAGTTATTACTATACTCTACATCTCTTCGTACCTACTAGGTACTAGGTAGCTTAATTAGTAATTACAATTAGGCTAGCTAGCTAAAACTAGGGAACACCATTGCCATTTGGATTTTGGCGTTAGGACCTGGGCCCGCTAGGCGTTAAATCTCATGTCAAAGACAATTCTATACAAAGTAAAACTAACCTGTTAGGCTGTTATAAATATTGTCTATTAATAATGTTACAGATCTCTTGCAGAACCTGCTGAAATAGCTGTAGTGGACTAGTGGTAAAATTTAATCCTATAATACAATGCAATCAGAAACGTCACTCAGCACCAATCACATCTTACGGTAACCTGAACAAAGTCAACAACAGGCGTCAGTGTCAGGCAGAATTCCCACCTGTCAAAATAAATCCACGTTTCACTTGCAAAAACGGCAGCCAAGCCAAAAAAAGTGCAGAATTTTCCCTTGAATCAAAAATATGAATAATTATAAGAATCGCTTAAAATATTCACTTAACAAACACAGTGAATCGGAGGAAAGGGCGTTTTAATCATTGTGCTAGATACTAAATTACTAATATGGTATTGATAAAATACAGATTTCTCAGTTCATAAAGAACTTCACACAATTTTACTAACCTATTTGAAAAAACTACACTATGTCTGATATTCTGAAATTTGCATATGTTCAGACGTCGTCAAAAATCTTTCGGCCAATTAAGTTCTGTGATAGTCATGTTATCATAGAAAACAATACAAATTTTCTACATTCACACAGTAATTTTTCGATAAACTAAAATAACGAATAATATCACGAACTACAAGTTGCTGAAAAAAAACTTGCCAGAGATGTAACAACATCCCAATGTCACGAGCACCGTAACGACATCCTCCGTTACTCCATATTCCATAAGTTTGCTGGCTTCAGTGCGGTCACGGCGTCACGTTGTGCTAGTCCTGGTGGTATATTGTATAATCCGTTGAGCATGTCATACAACAAATGGAAATGTCCATTTAAGTAAAATGTTTGATTAAACTAACGTGATGATATTATTTTGTTTTATTATTTGCATTATTTTATATGTGTTTGTAAGTTGAATTGCAACTTTGTGTTGTATATTGCGTAAGGACGATTTCAATTTGAACATAATCTACGGACAAAACTATTACGTTTACAGACGAAAACTCCTCATAAGCAGTCGCTCACGTCAAGGTTATAATTCTTCTTAAAAGTAGTGAATTTTTAATCGTCAAGTCTTATCATTCGCAATGCAAAACTGTTAAGTACAAAATATATTTAATTAAATATTGTTCGTAAAATTTTATAAAACTAAGAGCAAAATTGACAATTATTTCGCATAGATATAAAATATGAAAGTTAAAAATACAGTTTCTAAAATTCCATTCCAACTTAACTTCTTTCTATTAGTATTAGAAAAAGAATCGGAGAGGTACTCTCTACGATAAAATTCTACTCGAACTCCCATTTGAAATTTTAAAAGAAATTCTATTTAAAGAAAAATTTAAAATTTTATAGCAGTCGTCTTCCCCGTTTTATAATGTCTTATGAATGAACATGAAAATGTTAATTAGATCCAGTTATTATTCCGAAATGTAGATTATGTGGATGAGCGCTCGGATAGCCCCATATTTTCACAAAGTCAAACTCGAACAAGCACATAACTATCGACTATATATATAATGGATCATTTTGTACGTCCACGAGTTGGAGCCAATTAGTAACGTGAGCTGAAGTGTGTAACTTAATGTATACCGGCGGCATTTCCCTGTCAGACGCGGTCGAGAAAGCACGTGTCCGCTCTCTCTGGAACTGTTGCGTGAGCTGAGATAATCGTGTGTGACGGTTATTTTTCTTTGTCGGCCAGTTGTGAATGGGTACAGCTTGGGCCCAAGTGTTTTTCAGTGTTTCGGCGGGATATCAGGGAAGTCAGTAAATCCGACGACGACTCGGAGACGGAGGACGACGAAGGCGGCGCATCAGCGTGACCTTGGACTACGACGTCCTAAACTCATCATAAGGTCATAAGGTAAGGCCATACAATTCAACAGAAGTTCCAAACGCTTGGGACTTGTGCCGACTGTGGTGAGCAGAGACCTGCAAGGTGGAACGCGAAAACTTTCGTGTTCATTAACTATTTTTTATTAATATTAGTTATTTTTTAGTTTAAAGAAACGTACATCTGCCTGGTCTAAGTGCTCTTCTCCATGTTATATCCAAACATTTGACTTTGTTAATGCGCAAATTATTAGCGCGTTTGACAAGAAATAATGAAAAAATAACACTATTTAGTGATAATGCAATATGTAATATTAGTGGTATGCGGCTGGTACCTAGTCGAACGCGACCATCATACGGAACCTACAAGTGGGGGTCGCCTGCCGAAGACCACCACTGCCCTAGATGTAATGGACCATCATGATTCCTGCCTTCCGGAACGTAGCCTTCAACACTTCAAGCCGTCCGTATCTAGGCCGTGGGTCGAACCAGCCCTCGGTCGAACGGCCACTTGTCGAAGGACGATAAATTTTGGAGCAGAACTATGCTATCTGAAGCCTAACCTCAGATGCGGATGCCCGGAAGTCAGATTCGATCCGCGGCTTGGTGGTGCACGGCAGGTTCTGTGCGAGGCCGGAGGAAGACAAAGCCGAGTGGTTCACGGCTGATTGCTGGATGTCCGGAGAGATACAAGGCGTTCGATTCAGGGCTTATTGGTGCACAAAATTAGTGGTGCACGGCTGCGCTCCCACAAGAGGTACAGATCATGTAAAGATAACAAGTTCAACATGTGCATGCACGCTGAATCTGATACCGCTAATCTGAACGAACAATACAACCTGCAATAACTCTCTTGTGAATTTTATGCTGTTCAACGATATTTTAAACTTTGCACGATTTATTTGGTGTGTCTTTAGGGTTATTTATATACATTCTTATTTTATTTTACAATTATATATTCAGAAATATTTGTAGAAAAATTATTTTACTTGCTTTCGCTTACATTCATCATATTCACTGTTGAGTCTTTAATCCTAATTTGTTCATTTCTAATCGTGACCATCCTTTGTCAGCAACATTTTATTTCAATATTATTATCAATATAGTCTCCAACTTATTTGGTTTACACCGCAACAGATTCTGCTGTCTCTCTGGTGGCTTCATAAGAATTCGGCTTGCGTAAATTAAAATAACTTATTCCTTATTATTATCTATCAAATAACATCATTAACCATGGTTATCGAAGAGATTCATTATTTTTTCACTGCTTTTGTTACTTATGGGGCGGTGGTTTCCATGCGTATTAAGTTATCAATGCAAACAACGTCGAGGAAACTGTAACAAAAAGAAGCATTCATTTGCAGGCCCAACTTAGTCTGTAAAAGCCCGTCCACGTAGTATAGCATCACCGTGGCTCCCACTATTGTATGATAAACTCTCACAATAACAATATTCCTTGAATGATTTATTCATGATTATAAGCCTCTGGTACAATGCAAAAGACATATAATGTACTCTGGCAACTCGAGTTCGGCCTTCGAACCGTGCGATGGCCTTACATCTTCCAATGTCTTAGCAAGATATACATGTAATCATGCCAACTGTGGCAATCTATTTGCACGAGTAATTCCGTGAACAACGTGGCAATTTGAAATTAACGTAACTCGATCGGTAGTAAGTGTTAATAGCTGCAGTGAAAAGTGTCAAATGGTTGAAGTCAAAAACTCAATATTACTGCTTCAGTTTAATAACTCAGAATGGTTATTATTAGGTCTGTGGAGAGTATCAAGTGGCTGGCGTGAAGAAATTCCTCATTACTGCTATGGTTTCAAAATCAATCAATCAAAATGTGCGATAAGTAGAAAGAAGGAGTAGAATGAGAAGGTTTGGCGTAAAGAGAACTATAAAAGGTTGAAATTACGTTTAAAAAACAGCGAAACCTTGAAAACCTATACGCCTGACCAATATATTATCAAATGCACTTATACTTGTCATCTGGAAATTAAAAAATTGTCGTTCTAAAATGGTGATTACATCTCGCTTAACTCGTTTATGGGACCGTTACTGTTAATATTTCTCCATGACATCTAATACTACCCAAATGAAATTTTCAGTAGAAAGCTCACAATGAGCTTACGTCTTGATGTGAGAACATGCATTAGGAATCCTATCGTTTTCATCGGTGTTTTTCGTTGAACTTGAATTTCCATGAGCAGGTTTTGTGTCGCATGAAGTAACTTTTATAATATAGGAATACAGCACTCAACCCTTATTACAGTCAAATATATTTTTGGTTAACTGCTTAACCATCGTTTACTAAGACTTTTTATAGTATTGCATTTCAAATCTATCGAAACGATGGCTGGCAAGAAGACAAAAAGAAACCGGGCTTATTTTAACCAGGTGAGTTACAATTTAAAGGACGCTCATTATTTCAAATTTAATGATTGGCAAGTAACATGGATGAACACATTTACTAAGCATCAGCTAAATAACGCTTTCTAGTTCGATGTGTAGTTGCTTTGTACATACGTATCGAACTTGTGTGTTCGTTTCCTTTGTGTTTGAATGTACTTCCTTTTCAGATAATGCAGCGTGTTTCGTGCTATATACCATGTTTGCTTTATTGGTATTAGAATTATTTATTTAAGATTAAATAATTTCATAAAATTCCCCCCAAAACAATTCATGGGGAATATTCTATAGAGTTCCCAACGATTACTTTCAGCTACTGGCAGGCATTGCTATGGGCATCTCAGCTTGCGGCATGACATTCGCCATGAACTTCCCAACTTTTGGAGTGCCGTCCATGGAAAAAGATGACTCCTTCTCTACCTCGCCTGATGACGTGAGATGAAAGTAGAGGTGGTAGTCGTAACATAAAATAACATAGCGATGTCGGCGCTGAAGAGAAGGCCTGATGTGGCCTGTCGCCGATTGTTGTACTTTTTGTGACTTGTTCGCAGAAGATCTAAAATCATGCCATTTGACCGGATCTTTTCAAGACTGACGATAGTTTGAAATAGCTACTATAGACTTTCACCGGGTTCCATATGATGCTAGGCATTTCAAGTCTGAACTTAAATTTCATATATCTAAACATTCAGGCCTTTTTTAGCGGAAAACATCAAATTTAAACTGAACACTTGCAGTTCCAAGGCGTTGCTTCTATTTCTAGAAGATCTGAAATAAAGAGAGAGAAAAATATACGGGGAGATTGTGAATCAAGCATTTAAATAACTAAGATATGCAATATTTGGAGGAGCTTCATTGATAGTAAAATGATTCAATAAGTATTATTTGATTTCATTTTTTTTGCATTTTAGTTGCGTTTGATTGGCTCGATCGTACCAGCGGGGGCTATGGTGGGTAACTTCTTGGCTGGGATGTTGGTGGACAACATTGGCCGTAAGATGACCATGATGGCCGGCGCTGTCCTCTGTTTAATCGGTGAGCACTCTTAGGGTCAAATATTATGATGAACTTTCTAATCATTGTTAACCGAATATTTGAGGGCAAGGTTAAGTACTGTTCCACAAATGTACATTTTAGATTTTAGTATTCAAACAGCGTAGCCAAGTTGTTGTTCCTAATAGACTTATCCCAACCTTCTACTGCCATTATCCCAGCCTAATCATTTCTACATTTCTTTCTAAATATTTTTGGATGACATGCAAAAGGTGCCAATTATAACCAAATACATTTCTTTTATCATCTCCTATAATAGCTGAAATGCCTCCTACTAAGCCCGAATAATAAAAGGACTACAACTAAATTATGAGATATCAATTATGATAAACCAAACATGCATGAGTTTGGTTTATCAATAGAGTACGTACATTATCACCTATTAGATAAGATTGCTCGTACCTTCGACCCACACTGCATCGTTAAATACTCACCTAATGGTAATATGTCAGAATATTCTGCTCGATGAGAATTCCCTTGTTTAAGCAGATCTTCAGATTTTCTGACTAACCAAATACCAATTTATTTTACTCCGGGAACTGGAACGAAGAAGGGACGTTTTAAATCCACTTTATTTAGAAGTCTCACTTTTCTGCTCTGTAAATTCTTACTTATAAATTATATCAACTAATTATTTTAAATCATAAATCCCTAATGTCGTTTTATAATTCAGCAATTTCGATTTTTAGCAAAGATCGGTGTAACTATCGGCAGTTCCGATCGTTGTAAGGTGAATTCATAACAATTTTTAGTTCAGACTACAGTAACTATTTCCACTTACGATCGTTCTACGATTAGATGCGACGCAATATTAAAAAAATTAAATTCAGACCACTGTAATTATTTCCAACTACGATCATTATAACGATCAGTAATGACTATTTCTAGTGCAGTCTTTTTATATTTACAATAGTGTTAATGTTTACAATTACGACGATCGTTAATACGAATAGTTATTAAACAAACATCATACCATGCAGGTAACCAAACTCCATACCCTATAAAAATATTTCATTTGCAATTCTCACGAGTATTTGTTCCTCTGCAAGTAGAGATGAACCTTCAGCTACACAAAGGTTTACGCAACTCTCATTGACATGGACGCAGATTTTGAAGCTATGCCATTCGTGAAGGCTTCCAGCATTCAGGCTGCCTGTGGATTTCTAAGTGTCTGTGTATTTTAGATTTGAAACAGTTTTCAACATCCGCTTCCTGCAAGCGGTTTAGAAATCAATAAGTTTATATATTCATAAATTTCTAAATATTTTTCCCTACAAGCATATGTGCTGCTAGCGTGCGCGCCGTCGGTGGCGCTGGCGCTGGTGTCGCGCGCGGTGTCGGGCGTCGCGGCGAGCCTAGCAGCCATCGGCGGCATGATCTACACTACGGAGATCGTCCATCCTAAAGTTAGAGACAGAATTGGCAGCGTCTCGGGGATACTCGCTAATCTCGGTGCGTAAATGGAAGGATTACAGACGAGTAGAATTGTCCATCCTGTAGTCGTTAACAACTACTAGTTGTCAAGTATTAATTAAGCCAAATCAAGACGAGAATTGAATTTCGATATTGGACATGAGGTGCTGGGACATATACATCGTAAGATATGATTTAAGAAGACACAATTCAAATACTTTTTCCCACTCTGTTTAGTATTTGTGCTTAACGAAGTTAACGACGAAATTATTCGTGCACCTCTCTACTTCCAGTGTTCTCTTAAATAACTCAAAAATTAAAAAATGCATGAGCCTAAGATTTCATGAAACTATATAAGCAGCATGTAATAGGGAAAATAGCACTCTATTTCCTAAACAAAATGTAATTTCAAAACGTTTAACATCTTAAAATTACATGACACCTTCAGAAACAACTATTGATACAGTTGGAAAATACTATCATAGTTACAGTAATAATGATAATAATAATAACTGGCAAGTCCTTCCATCTTGATAATCTCCAGCAGTCTCTTTCTATAGTTTTTGATCAGATTTGCAGTTGTATCAGGTTTGATATCATCCCATTCTTCAGTTGCGACTTGTTTCAATTTCTGGTGATTCTTGGGAGCCCGATCACTGATTGTAACTTTAAATGCTTGCCATATATTCTCAATCGGGTTCAAGTCGCGGCTATTTGTTAGTCATGGAAGAACAGTGACCTTTGTTATATATCAAGCCAAGTGGTCGTAGCTGTCGACGTGGGCTTCAAAATTTGCTTAAAGCTCCATTGTCGTCCAAGATGCAAATTCCGAGCAGATGTTTGCAGGTTTTCATTCAAAATCGTTATATAATCACCTGAGTTCATAATTTCATCAACTGGAACTAACTTCTCGATACCAATTGAGGAGAAAAAACCCAAAACGTCGTTGATCCAACCTCAGGTATGACTGTTGGGATTATATTCTTCGAAAGGAACGCCTCCCCATTTTTGCGCCAAATCTTGTTCGTATTATTAAGTGCAAATAGCTCAATTCTTCTTTTATCACTTCATAATACATGGTTCCAAACGCCTTCCTCTTTGTCCACGTAAGAGCTTGCAAGTGCAAAATGAGCAACCATATGACGTCGTGTGTGAAGTGGAACTCTTTCGAAGTCTGCGTCCATGCAGGCCATTCATGTTGAGACAATACTGCTGACTCACGCTTGTTCTCTCACTGGCTAATTTATTGGCAATATCCATCACCACCAATCTTAGATTCATATTCATCTCATGACACACTTATCGAACTAATCGTTCCGATAGTCTTGGCTTCCGTCCTCATCCAGGCAGCGTGTGTGCAGTACCAAACTCTACAATTAAAGGTCTTTATCACCGGCTGTACTGTGGATCTATGAATATTCAGGTGCTTCGAGATGCCAGATTGTTATTGACCATTGCAAGATTTGTATACGTTAATAATTTGCTTCTCAAATCCACACGAAATTCCTTCGTCTGGCCCATCTTGAAATTTGCAGTCAAATGGCAGGAACCGACACCTCTTGAACCGACACCGATAATAATGTGCACAGTGATAATATCAAACCGGATACCGCTACAAATCTTACTAAAAACCATAGAAAGAGACTACTGGAGGTTATGAAGATGAAGTACATGCCATTGATTATTATTATTGCAACTATGTCAGTATTCTCCAACCGTATGAATAATTATGTCTGAAGGTGTTGAGGAATTTCTACATGTCATAACGTTTTGAAATTACATTTTGTTCTGAAACTGTAGTGCTATTTTCCTTATTAAATACTGCTTAGTTCGATAAAATCTTAGGCTCATACTGTACATTCTTTAATCTTGCGAGTTATTGACGAAAACCTTGAAAAGTTGGGGTGTACGAATAATTTGGTCACTAGCTGTACTTATAGTACCTAATTGGCCGATTTCTTATCAACATGGGTTTCTGGCCAGCTTCATCAAATAGACAACGTCGTTTTCATCCATTACCTTCTTTTGAATAAATTCGAAATCAAAAGGCTATTTCTCTCTTAATTTGTTCATTTATTTTATTTTTGTTGCTGAAGATTGACGAGAACTGATTTCTATCAATTTTGATATTCGTTCTCGATTGTATTTATTAATAACACATAATACAATGCCACTTAATTACCACGTGCCTTTGGTGCCGCAGGCATGTTGATCGCATTCATGTCGGGCTCGGTCGTGGAGTGGCGAGGGATGGCATGGATCGGCGTCGCGCTCAGCCTGCCTTTCTTCTTCATCCTGATGTACCTGCAGGAATCGCCAAACTATCTCATCAAAAAAGGCATGCAGTTTCTTCATTTTTCTTCGTGAATTATACAGTTTTTTTAACGATGTTAGTGTATCGAAAAATAGTTTCCATCTTTTCCACCATGATGAAAGCCCATGTCAAGACATACCACGTACGAGTTACATGGTATATCACAAATTCTCCATTGATCACTTGGACGCTGCAAGATTCACATCGCAAAAATTCGTTGCACAAGTTAAGTTGTGAACAATGGATTTTTATTTATTTGCTTATTTATTTATTTTCTATAATTTTTTTAGTGCAGCATTTGGTCACATCATACTAAATCCTTAAGAGTTAGATGCCAATTCCATGGCCAAACGACCGTCGCTTACTTCATTTGCAACTGTATTATAATCGCAAGATCTCTTTTCACTTCTAAATTATTTTATTTTGTCCTTTCCTCAGGTCGGAGAGATGAAGCTCGCCAAGTCCTGTTAAACTACCGAGAATCTGCAACTGAGGCGATAAAAGAATACGAGGAGCTCCTGCAAGCGACAAACAAAGCATCAAAAAGCACAGCGTCACCAAAAGATCTTTTCTCAGCTCCGTACATCACTCCTCTGTTGACATGCCTCATCCTTCAAATTGCCCAGCAGCTTACAGGCATTACAGGAATCACCAACAAGGCTGTCACAATTTTCAGCATGCTGGGCACCAGTATAGACCCTGCATACTGCACCGTCATGATAGCTATCGTCAGTATGATTACTGCAGTTCTTACTTCCGAGATCAACGCCCGCTTTGAACGTAAGCCAACGCTTCTGGTGTCGACGGTTTTCATGGCTATGGCTCAGGTTTGTGTAGGTTTCTTTCTGTTAGCTAAATCTAGTGGTGGACCACTTGGCGAATGGGCTGACGCTAACAGCATTTTGGCATTAGGCAGCGTCCTGTTCTTCTATATTGCTTTCGGTGCTGGACTTGGACCGATGCCTTGGATTTACATGGGCGAAGGGATACCTAGTAAAATCCGAGGCCCTGCTTCCGCCATATCGATGACTCTCAGCATGCTCAGCATTTTCGTGGTGCTGCAGTTGTTCGATCCGCTTATCGAATATTTCGGTTTCCACTACTGCTTGATGATACTGGCTGTGGCGTCCTCCAGTGCTACTTTCTTGGCCTTGTCCATTATGCTTGAAACAAAGGGGAAGACCGTCAGTCAAATCGATAAACATTATTTGGATCTCGAGAAAAAGCGCAATTAGAACTGTGAATAGCCAATAATGGTTATATTAAAGAGACGATTGCTTGTCTCCAATTAATCCATGACAATAACATAATTTTGTTGCATTCAGTTGGCAACGAAGTTAGAGACAATTATTAAAATCAACCGTGTTTTGCATCGTGCTCGTTATTGTCGACTGGGTAAATATTCGGTTTTATACGCGTTGTACTATTGAAATTCAGGATTGTGTCTTATATTTTAGGTTACAGATTGATTCAAGATTGTAAACTTCTGGTAAGGTATGTACATGAACTGAAGAGGTATATTTCTATATTCTCCAATCAGATTTGAGTCTGCCTCTCTATTCCTGTGATCAGAGTTATCCAGACTAATATATTATTGCATAAATATAAATCCACGCTCAAAGTCCCCAATGTTCAACGGAGTTGTAAAAGTTCGAAATCCGGTGAAGTAATTCCAAGCAATAAGTCAATTCTAGGAATAATTAATATATGATTGTAATCAATAGGATGCTATCATTGTTTTGACTTCAAAGGTGACCTCTGACGCCAAAAGTGTTTGGTTTGTCTCTCCAACATTTCACTCGATACATCAATTAATACATTAATCTATTTACATTAATAATTTAGTGCTTATCAAATAATCCAATTCAATTCAATGGCACTTTGATGGTCATGTTTTGATGAAAATTTCAGCAAAGGCCACAAGAAATGTTCCTGGATAAGAATCACATGTTATCTTTGTACTATCGGAGGTGTAACTTGTCTAGTCAACTGTTGATCGGTTCTGAAGTCGAAGTGTTAAAGTGATGGATTCGAAGCCAGTACAATAGTACATGTTAGTGCCATGTTTTATACCTGCTTTCTTGATATTATTACCCCATACTGTACATTTGAGTCATGAACCGTACCAATGAGTGTCCAATATGCTTTATGCTTTTATAAGGAGTGTCCACACGTTATCATATTACTTAAACACTATTCATGAGTTATTACTCTCAATTTACATGTACTTAAACCCTATTCACGAGTACGTAAACCCAACCTATGAGTGCTTATGCCATGCCCAATTTACTAGTGCTCAAACTCAAGTTTTATGTGCTTAATCCTAACTTATATGTACTAACCTTACTCAATTCATGTGCAAAACTTACACCTATGCTTTGAATATTTAGATCCGATTCATGTGTAGTTGAGCCAAATTTATTAGCGCCTAAACATTCCTTTTACGTGGGTAAGTCGGAGCGATTCACAAGCATGAATCGTCTAAGGTGCAACATATGGAGGAAGATTCCGCCGTTTAGCTATAAGGTTGACTGGAATTCAAATTGTGGCTCGTAAGTTAACGTGTATTTTTTAGACAACCCTTAGAATTACTAGATACAAGTACGGTACCTATATGTATTGCGAGCATTAATAACGAGAAATTGTTTATTTTTGTAGCAACGTTCAGCAAATACTACTACAATTTGTAGCTGTTGCTCTCGAAATACATGCTTCGCGGATATTGCTGATTTACAGTAACCAATTATTTCATTTGAGTCGTCTTGAGTAATTATTGAACGAAAATCAGGTCTTTATAATTATTGTTTTCTACTAATCATGTCACACAAATTACTGTACTGTCGAGTACCGCAAATTGATACTGTACTAAGCCTGCTTTTTTATATAGATAATAACATCCGATTAAATTTTTCAAAGTGTAGAAAAAGGATTTTTTTCGTCCCATCAGTCTTTCATCTCATAAATTTATTTTAGGCGACCGGTAATAATTGACGAGGTAATGCAGCTATGGGGTTAAAACAGAGAGTTAAGCAGAACTTTCGAATTTCTCACTAAGCATATAACTTGGAAAACAGCGCCTTCTCGTTTCGATTGCCGTTCTCCAATAGAGTAATTGTTTCAGACTAGTATTTAGTTGGTAGAAGAATAAAATAAAGACTCGAATTATGATGACTCCTCATGTCTAGCCGAAAATTTGGCCTCCATTCATTATGACGTTCAGCTTCCAGAACTGCGATAAAGCCGTGGCGATGCTGCGGTTTCGGTGCATAGCGAACAAATTTTTCTTGTTTAAACATCCCGAAATTGTTTCATATCTGGCGAATACGTCGTGGACATGACTGAATAGCTTGTAAAGATGGAGGCGTTCAAATGAGAATCGTGGAAGAAAAATTAACAACCAATACATAAAATAACTGCCCGCTCAAGATGCGTTCTATTCTAAATGGTACTTCACCTCGGAAAGAACAATGAACAGCAAGATTACAGTATGAGAAGACATGGTTGCAACGAGAGAGTAATGATTGAAAAGTCTAGTGAGGAAAAAGATCTCGGAGTTTATGTCGACAAGGAGCTGAAATTTTCTAAGCATGTTGAAACGCAAGCTAACACATCCAACAAACTTCTTGGACTAATCAGACGCTCATACGAGATCCACGCGACAAAATTTTTTCTCGCTTCGAATCACCGACATGTGGAACAGCCTCCCCGATGACAGCGTTGGCGCTCCAAGTATGAACGCGTTCAAGAACAGACTAGATAAAGCTATGGAAAAATATATGTTCAGATTTGAAATGCCTAGCTTCTTATCGAACCCGGTGGAAGTCTAGTAGCTACTTCAAACTATCGCCAGTCATGAAAAGATCCGGTCAAATAACACGATATTAGATCTTCTGTGAACAAGGCACGAAAAGGAAAAGAATCGGCGACAGGCCACATCAGGCCTACACTCCAGCGCCGACATCACTATGTTATGTTATGTTATGTTATGTAAAATTTCGATGGAAGTAAGCCTTTGCTGCAACACTTAGCAACACTGTGCGCTGGGTACACCTGAAAAATACTATATTATGATTTCTACGCATTGCTATTATTCGAAGCTCAAGACTAACTCCAGAGAAAAATTCTGCCTGATAAATAAAATTTGCTTGTAATACTGGCGTGACTTCCAAAGTATGATTGTGTAATGTCGGATGTGACGATACATAGGTCCTGGACACCAGACCGGATCGACACTCAAAATGAAGTTAGGTTTTCCGTATTAGTAAAAAAGTTATTGATGTAAAAATCTGAAATAAATCCGTCCACAAATTACTGATATTATCTACTTATTTTACAAATTCTAATGATATCCGTTCATTATTAATGGATTTATGGCTGGTTGAGCTGAAAGTGAAGTTAGGTTTTGTAATCGAGTGCGCAGGCCAGTTTGCATGCAAGCTCGCTAAAGTGTCGATTCGGTGGATACCAACACGGCAGCACCCAATGGTCCATTCTCCGACACAGAGCAGGTTATTGAGGTACTGACCCATTTATTCAGTTTAAGTTAAGAAATAAATTAATTAGAAGTAGAGAATGTAACATCATATCTAAAGCCAAATAATTGCTAAAATAGAAAGAGAGCATTTACATGCTAAAGAGAGCATTTACACAGTTTATGCGAGTAAATAGCAAAGTCAATCCTCAAATAAAATTTTCTCTATCTTGATAAAGAAAATTCCGATTGATCGATGGGTATCTAAAATTGTAATATAAAAATTTTAATCTTGTCTAGAAAGTTTGCAAGGTTCAGTACTCGGTAGTCAAATTTATTGCCGTTGCTCATAAAATTTACATAAGCAATCTACGGTTAGGGCAATATTATCTGAATTTCCATGAGGCTAACCGGAAATACCGACAAGTTTGCGCTTCAACAAAATTTTCACTTTGCCCCGCGCTAAGCAACTCAACTTGACATATGAAAGATATATACTGCAATTTTGTTGGTAAGTGGCACGGGTACTTGAATATCGAGAAACAAATAGCAATGACTGTACATTATATTCTTCCAAAATATTATGCCGCTAGTTACATACCATAAATTAATATTATTGATCAAAGTTATTTGTAAATGAGTTACAACAATTGCTGATTAATAGGCAGAGCTGGGCAGCGCTACTTGGAAATGTAGCGGCGCTACCGCTACCGCTACATGCTCTAAATGTAGCGGGCGCTACCGCTACCGCTACACCCACTAGATTGTAACGGGCGCTACCGCTACCGCTACAGTAAANGCTACTTAAATATGTAGCGGGCGCTACCGCTACCGCTACATTGCCTTAAATGTAGAGCCGCTACCGCTACTGAAAATGTAGCGGCCGCTAGTAGCGGCCGCTACATGTAGCGCGCTACTGCCCACCTCTGTTAATAGGCCAACTTTATTGTGTCATAAGGTTCTGATGTTATTAGTAAATTTTGGTAGACTGTTCTATGGGTGAAGACTAACAAAAATTAGAATATACAATGCAGATCAGGGACCTAAGATTTCCAAACCAAAGCAAAAGGGCAAGAAAGTTTATTTCTTGTCAAAGTTCTAGAACTTGAAAAATACAATAAACTGCTTTCGTAAACTATAGATGAGAATAATATTCTAAAACCAATTGTTGGAGAAAATAGATCAGCCTGAATTTATTACCCATGGTCCATGGAGAATTTTTCCAACAAAAATAAGTGAATTATTTATCGAGTGCTGTCAGAATATATTATTTTGGACATAAAATTCGTACACGCCTAGAATTCCATAAAATATGAAGAAAGATGATTCAAAGAAGCATTCCTGATTTAAAATAAAACTAAACGTATAACATTGATTACGCTCGGCGGAAAGGAATAGATATTGAATTGTGGGCAAGAGATGTGTTGGCCTCTAGCATGCATCCCGTAAGTCGTTAGAGCGATGGCGATGACCGATTTCGTACGCATACCTCAGCACCAGCAAGACTGACCGCACAAACTTCAATCGAGCCAAAAATTGAGTGGGGTAAATTTCACAATTTTGCTTGTATTTTAAGATTAGGATGCAAAATTATGATGCTTAGAAAAGTAAGAATGAACTGTGAGAATGACACCCACCGATTCATGCTCGAAGTAGGTAACTGAAAGCGAAAGGTTAGGTTATGAAATAAAAAAAGTATATTCTACATAAAACGAGGTATTGTTACTTTACCTGAATTTTATCATTACATATAAAATCTAGCATAAATCATAAATATCACAAACACCAACGTGTGACCTAACTTAACGAAGGGGACACCAGCAAAGACGCAAAAGTTCGAGATGAACAGATTTGAAAATAACTAGTTAGATTCAAATGGTCTCTGTGAATAAGATTTTTCTTTTGCGAAAAATGCTAGTAAGACCAGAAAGATTAACCTTATACATGAAATTGTATGTAGATTGGAGAAGTAACTGCTTAATGACTACCAAAAATAACTAGGAAACTACGGTACAAATTAAAGAGGCTGCTTAAATTTTACTTATCAACAGATAACGAGCGTTGATATCGCAGTGGGAATTAAATTATCTAGTGACAATACCATAGCCTTAAAGATATACATACAGAAATATGACCACCATCTTTCAGAAGGCTACCGTTGTGACTTGAAAAATAATATGCGTTTAAAAATTACTTTTTACAGACAACACTTCTGAAGTATACAGGATCTCCGATATTACACATCTACAATGAATTTCTAATTTCATTTCCATACATTAAAAAAATATAACTCAGTACTCACTGCAGTGAGTGACAGAGAGCGCATTTTCTCGTCGACGAAAACTTGAGGTCACGGACACACGGACGGACGGACAGACAGACGGACATGGCGAGCACAATAGTGCATTTTTTCCATAAATGAGAAAATGCGCTATAAATGAATTTTAAAATTTTTATTAAATGTAAAAATTTATATTTTCAAAATTATTTATTGTGACAATTGATACATGCATTGTCTCCAATTTTACGCAAGTGTGCAAAATTTTAGAGCGATTGGAGCGGTAGAAGTGTGTTGAATATCGTTTATAATATTTGCAGCAGACAATATTATTTTTTCAAAATTTTTTAATTCATTTTTTTAATGATATATTCTGTCAATTGATTCATGCATTATCTCCAACTTTATGCAAGTGTGCACAATTTCAGATCGATTGGATAGGTAGAAGTTGTTAAAATCGATTATGAGATTTGTATCAGACAGACAAACAAATAAACATGAAGTGAAGTTAAAGAGAAGTGTTGTAATTACTTACTACGCGTGGTCGTATCTATTAAAACATTATATCAGTTCAACGTAATGAAGGATGAACCTTCAACAACCTTTTATCATAACCTAATTTGTGGAGAAATATAATTTCTCCAAAATAAGGGAAATATCAAAATGGTTGCATTAATTATGCAACCCTTTTCTCAGTCACATATGCAAATTAATAAAGCAATTAATCACCGGACTTGATGGGAATGCATGAACTGTAGTGCGGCTGTGGCAGGTCTGTAAGGAGTGTCTCCAAGGCTTCATTACACTAAGTGATAAAGAAGATGTTAACTCAATTAGAAGCCAGGCAGAACCCTCGTCTGGGAGCAAAAGATCGCGTATTGTAGGGGCGGTGCAGCGATCCGGTGTAGGTCATTCAGTGGTGCTCGTAAAAATATCGTCTTTATATGTTCATTGTTCAGCTTGGTGATCCATTGTGCGATTTTCTCGTCCATGCGTTGACACCCTTTTTCCGTAAAATATAATGATGTTTCATGGACGATTCTTGATGATTTTGACGTTAACTGTGCATATTTAAGATTAAAAACAAAATAAGTAGAAAGTTTATTCCTCAAATTATACACAGAATCAAAATCGGATTTAAAAA